CAATCGGCTATTCCAAGGCCTTGGCACAGCTTCTCCATGCGCACCGCGTCCACCGGTTTGGTGAACAAATCCGCCAGTTGCTTCTCGGTACTGATATACTTCACCGCTACACGTCCATTCGCAATGTGGTTCCGGATGAAGTGGTGCTTGATATCTATATGCTTGTTTCTCTTGCTTTCACAATTCTTCGCCATACCTATCGCTCCTTGATTGTCCTCAAATATTACGACCGGATCCGCAGGCCGCTTCAATTGAAGATCTTCCATCACTCCGGACAACCAGATCGCTTCCGAAACAGCAGAACTCAGCGACACATACTCCGCTTCACTCGAGGATGTAGCAACGGTAACCTGCTTTTTGCTCGACCACGATACAGGATTACCGAATACCGTGAACAGGTAGCCGCTGACTGACTTCCTGTCTTCCGCATCCGATGCCCAGTCGGCGTCAGCATATCCGACCAACGCTTTCGCTGATTCGTCGCGTACAAACTTCAGGTGCTTCGTTTTCGTCCCTTTCAAATACCGCTCTATACGCTTGAGGCATTGCCAATGGTTAACTGTTGGGTTCTGTTGGTAACGGCCCAGGAATCCGACGGGGAAACACAAATCAGGCCTGGTGCACAGCATTACGTACATAATTGTGCCCAGCAGCTCACGGTACGGTTCTTGGGTTGACTCACCATCACGGGAAACAACCAGGTTCTTCTCCATAGGCGTCTTGGTCGGGTTACAATCCGTCATCTTAAAGCGTATCAATATTTTTCGATATTTCATACCTAGGAAACGACTGATCTCACCACAGTCCGTCATCTTGAACGTCGAACTCAGGGCTTTCTTCAGATTCACAATCGTTTCAATCTTCCTCCCAGCGATGAGCAAATCGTCCACATACAGAATGATATAAATTTCGTCTTCTGGTACCTCCTGCACGTAGAGGCAGTAGTCGTGTAGCGATCGACGAAATGCCAAACTCAGCAACCGATCGTTGAACTTTTCGCTCCAGCACCTTGGGGATTGCTTGAGTAAGCGGCACACTGTATTAGGGGACGCTGCAACACCGTCGGGAACCGCCATGTACATTTCCTATTTCAGGTCGCCGTGCAAAAACGCCGTCTTGACGTCCATTTGATGGAAGTGGAAACACTGTTGCACTCCGAACGCGAGAACCGTCCTGATGGTGGCCAGGTTTGCAACAGGAGCGAATGTCTCCTCGTAATCGACTCCAGCCTTCTGTAGGAATCCTTTCACCACAAGTCTCGCCTTATGTTTGACCGCATTGCCGGCCGAATCGTCCTTCAGCCGAAACACCCATTTCGATTTCAGAGGCTTCACTCCCTTCGGACAGCTCGTAAGACGCCAGATCTTGTTCTCCTCCATGGAACGTAACTCATCTCGTACCGCAGCCATCCACATGGCTCGGTCAGCACGCTGGGGCAGTTCATCAAACGATTCGGGTATATCTGCGGAAATCAATTCGCCAGAAATAGCTCTATAACCGACAAAGTAATCAAATAACTTACCGGGGAGCCTGCGCTCCCGTCCGCTATGCCTCGACGACAATTCACTAGGAATTTCGCGTCTTTCTGTGGGCGAAGGGAGCGCATTTTCTGGTTCGGCTTCAATTCGATTGATTTCAGGTTCATCATTGGCTTCACGAATTTCATCTGTGGGGGCCGGCTGGCAACATTCCCCCCCTTGCTCGAACGGGAAGTGGACGGTCAATGGGACATCGTCTTCTTGCTGCATCACAGCGTACTTGACGTCTCGAGCAATCGTAAGCTTTCGAGCCACCGGGTCCCACACGCGGTAGCCGTTCGGAGCGTACCCAACCATGACCATCTCCTTGCTCTTCGCATCCAACTTACGCCTTTGCTGCTTCGGAATCCACACGAAACTCTTGTAGCCAAACACACGAAGTTTGTCCAGATCCGGTCTGATACCGAACCACATCTCAGTCGGGGTAACACCAGAGGGTAACGCACTTTTTGGGCTTCGGTTCATCAAGTAAACGCAGGCGAGGGCTGCTTCTGACCACAGCTGCTTCGGCACATTGGATTGGATGAGCACGGAACGGACTTTTTCAACCAAGGTTCGGTTGAACCTCTCCGCTTCACCATTCTGCTGGGGCGTGTACGCAACCGTTGTCTCTAGTAGAACTGCATCTGATTTGTGGAACAGTACTCTCGTACCTGGTCCACCGTCATTCTTGAAATGGACTTTCCCAGCATAGCCGTGACCTTTGCTTCGAATTCCTGAAATTTCTCGAATACCTTTGATTTGCGCTTCAGCAAATATATCATCGAGAAATGAGTATGGTCATTGATGAAACTGACTATGTAACAAGAACCATCCCATGCCGACGGATCGATCGGTCCGCAAACATCAGAATGAATCCGCTCCAGCGGCCGGCTGGCCCTAGCTCGCGTTTTGTTGAACGGTTCTTGGCAATGCTTGGCTTGCACGCAGGCATCGCAGAAATCAATTTTGGTTGTTTTTTCAGTCATACCTTTCAGCATTCCTTTCCGGGCCATGGTCTTCAATCCGCGTTGGCCGATATGCCCCAGTCGACAATGCCACAGGTTTCCAATCGATACTTCGCAGTGATTCGCTTCAACTTCCTCCAACGACAGCTCAAGCTCGTACATGCTGCCTCGAAGGTGTCCAGTGGCCAGTAACTTACCACTTTTCTTCAGAACTGCTACATTTCCAGAGAACAAGACATCGATCTCAGCATTGGCCATCTTCCTTACGGATATCAGGTTTTCACGTAGTTCTGGAACGTAGAGCACATTCTTCAGATTGAAATTTCGCCAATCTGTTCAGCAAGCATAGCTTCTCCTTCCTTGGCGACCTTGATCTCCACGCGACTGGTCATCTTCTTCAGAGCAGCAAAAATGAACTTGTCGCCAACCAGGTGGTCACTGCACCCGGAATCAAGCTTGAAAAGGATTCGTCCAGGCCGCTTTTCCGCAATGTTTGCATCGGCCATGAAACTGATGGCATCCTTCTTCGCTGAATTGGCTTCACGCTGGCGACAATCCGTTTTCATGTGGCCGCGACGCCCGCATTTGTGGCACTTACCGAGGAATTTCTGGGACTTCTTTTGGGATCTTGAGTCACCTGAGAACGCTGCCAACTTGTCTTCAACTGAATCGCCCTGCCGGTCGGATCGCTTCCTTTCTTCAGCCAATAGACGCTGCTTGACGAGGTCCAAATTCAGGTCTTCTTCCGCGACGTTCTCCAGGGCCGTGACTAGGGGATCGAAAGAGTCTGGAAGCGTCAAGAAAAGCTGCGACACCAGATCACTTTCCGCCAGAGTTGCTCCGGTTTCTCACGAGCCCGTCGAATTCAAGTCCCCTTCCTTCATCCGCAAACGAGCCAACTGACAGGCAACCCACCAGCAACGCCTTGGAGATCCGGTCCGTTTCTTCAAACTTCTTCTTTGCAGCTTGATCCGTTGGAGCCACCTCGGTCAGCACATCCGCGACGCCTTTGGCTTCCAGGAACAGGCGCACTCGATAACTCCAGTTTTGGAAGTCAGCTCCGCTTCCACGCAGCAACGGGATGTTGCACGAAACGTCCTTCGCGGTGGTGCCCATAACCTCTTGAAGCGACAAACGGGAGACTCCAAAAGTTTAACAGGAAAAACGGAGAAAAGTTTATTTAAACGTCTGTACTACACGAAGTGCGATTGTGGAATGAACAGTTATTAATTTCCACAAACAGGTAACGGGTCGTTGCCAGGAAGGGCTTCCCAACAACGTACAGGGGAAAGCGACGGCTGATTGTCTACTACGCAAATTAGGCGTGAGTCAAAATGGCAGAATTCTTGCGTAACATTTGAAAGGGGCCTGTCCTCATCGATTTTCTCTTTGGTTTCCCACGGCAATATAATCGAATTTCTCGCTAAGCTCGCAGCACAGTTCGACAGAAGATGATGTTAGTTTGCGCCTGAAACCATACACTGAATGGAAAATTCATTTACAGTCGGGTTATTCACGAAAGAGAAAATCGATCAACAATGATAGGCCCTTTTCTCGTGTTGCGCGAGAATTCCGGCACAAACTTGGTTCATTGCCCCTAGTGAACAATTCTATACCGAGCTAGAAAAAGGGCCTATCTGCTTTGATCGATTCTCTTTTGATAACCACGGCTGTGCAAACAGTTTTCGTGCTATTTTAACCACATAGGAGGTTCTTATCTAGCGTCCAAAACGTCAAATACAACAGGGAAACGTTTTGCTTATGAGTTATCAACGAAAGAGAAAGTCGATGAAGAGAATCAATCAAAGCAGATTGGGCCTTTTTCCAGCTATGTAAAGAATTATAAGAAAATTTAATGGAGTTTGAGTAGAACTGCTCATTAGTACAAATAACCTCTAAATTTTTCAAAAAAAAAAAACCGCTCCTCGGCGACATACTACTTAGCTATACGATTATTTTCCGGCCATGTAAGAACTGCGTACCGCGTCAAGAATCTCACCAGTGGTCTATTGATGTGGTTTTTCTTCATCATTACAACTTGCCTCTCTATATCTCTGTAGCGGTGAGACGACTTATCAAAGACGCCGCCGCCGCCGCGACGTCGCATCAACCGGCACTCTGGTTTTGGGAATAGGTACCTACATATCTAAAAATAGCTCCCATCTGGCCTTACGGTGCGCGTATTCCTACCCTACTTAATACCATCACCGACCAAGCCAGTGGCGAGGGCCACTCCAATGAAAATCAGCGGGATTTCCTTTTCACCTTCTCTTTCGCTGACATGTGTATTGGCATTATCACACACTCCGAAATAGTTTTCCCAGCATCAATCTCCTTCCGAATGTGTGTTATTCAAAGCGACACAATAATGGACGTGATGGCATTCGAAAATGTGACGCTTCAACGATCTCCAGCAGAATGCCAATGTTAGGCGGCCTGACCCAAAAACATTCTCTTCTAATCCGCGACCACATGACGACATAACTAATGTTTGCTCGTTTCTCTATCTTTTCAGATAATTTTCTCTGACTGTGCAGCAGTTCATCATCATCATCATCATCACCATCATCAGCGTGTCGCAGTTTCATCACCCTTATCGCAATGCAATCAACAGCAGCAACAGTCTCCGACGACGATCTAAAGTACCCGAGCAGTGCCAGTGCCCTCTCGCCGCCGGATTCGTCTCTGGACGATTTGGAAGCAGAGTACGAAGACCTGGTGGACGGGATGGATTCCGCCGAGGCGGCAGGCGTGGTTAAGAAGCCACACTTTTTGGACTATGACAATAAACCGCCGGCTGGCTTGGAGGATCAGGTCGTGTTCGTCGGTCAGCCGAGGCGGGTGGCGAATGGACGGATGGATGAAAGAAAGGAGGATCCTATTTCGCAGAGTGTAGTGGAGGAAGGCAGCGGAGGGATAGAATTGAAGGAAATTGGCGGAAGAGGTACTTGGCCGGCGGCCACTGGATCCGGTCAGAGCGGTGCAAAGTACGCTGGAAGACAGAACCATTCGATGTACAACGATGTGTCGGAGATTTGTCCAAAGATGGAATGCGTTTACTCGCTTCTGTCGATGCTGGGATCGACCAATTCCTTGGAAATGTCCACTAAATTCATGGAGCTTTCCAGAAACAGAGAAACGTGCAGTGCATTGCGTCGTTCCGGGTGCATCCCGCTGCTGGTGCAGATAATCCACAATGACCCGAATGAGACGGCTCGGAAGAATGCCAGACAGGCACTGAACAATGTGATTTGTTGCCACCCGGATGATAAAGCCGGACGAAGGGAAGTACGGGTTCTGAAGTTGATTGAGCAGCTTATAGAGTACTCGGATCTGCTACGGGACTATACGGAGGAAAGTCCTCCGGAGGTACGAGACATCATAGAAGACCCGGAAAAGCACCCAATTCAATCGATCACCACCTTGATGAAGATCAGTTTCGATGAAGAACATCGACACGCCATGTGCCAGCTGGGAGCCCTACAGACCATCTCCACCCTAATCCAGCTGGACCACGCAGTCCACGGCGCTAATCCAAGTGCCCCCAAGTGCATCACAATGCGTCGCTACGCCGGAATGATTCTCACCAATCTAACCTTCGGCGATGGCAACAACAAATCGCTGCTCTGCTCGAACAAGAACTTCATGCGAGCGCTGGTAGCCCAGATTCAATCGAACAGTGACGAGCTGGTTCAGGTTACGGCTTCTGTTTTGCGGAATCTCTCCTGGCGAGCGGACAGTGTCATCAAGCAGACCCTCAGCGAGATTGGGACGGTCAAAATCCTGACCCGAGCGGCCATGGTTTGCACTATCGAGAATACCCTGAAAGCGATCCTGTCCGCGCTGTGGAATCTCTCCAATCACTGTCCCCCGAACAGATCCGAGTTCTGCGAAGTGGAAGGCGCACTCGAGTTTCTCATCGACATGCTGACGTACGAAGCCCCCAGTAAGACGATGAGCGTGATCGAAAATGCCGGAGGCATCCTCCGGAACATCTCATCACACATTGCCCTCCGGGAGGACTACCGGCGCATCCTACGGAAGAAGAACTGCCTGAAAATCCTGCTGGAACAGCTGAAGAGTCCCAGTCTGACCGTCGTTAGCAACGCTTGTGGAACGCTGGGAAACCTTTCCGGGGACAATTACGAAGACCAGAAGTTCCTCCGGGAGAACGGTGCCATTCCGATGTTGAGGTCGTTGATCTACAGCAAACACAAGATGATTTCGAATGGAAGTAGCATGGCGTTGAAGAATTTGCTGAAGCCACCGGCGTCTTCGATGATGGCCGGCGGTGGTTCACCGGCTTCGATTGCTATCGCTAGACCCAGCGGAGTGGAAAGCAGGGAGCTACCGAGCTTGAACGTCCGCAAGAAGAAGGCACTGGAGCAGGAACTGGAGGAGAAGTTCCTCCCGAAAGGCTTGAGGGAAGAGAAGGACATCTGCACCAGTCGAATATCGCCGGAGGAAGAGCAAGAAGCTGAAGACGAGGAGGAAGTCAGTCACGCCGACGTTCACATCCGACTGGTGCCAGAGCACCAAAACCAAGAGGAAGAGACGGAGAAACCAGTCAACTATAGTCTGAAAGAAGAGGAAGCCTATCAGGACTACCAAGAAACCGATATCGATCAGATAACGGACTACTCGTTGCGCTACGCCGAGAACCAATCGGAGGAGTCGGACGAGGAGAAGGCGGAAAACTACCGTCGATCGAATCCGCCCGGAAGCGGGATCTGCGAGATGGCCGAGGATACGGTCAAGTGCTACTACACGGAAGGAACGCCGCAGATCATCTCAAGCGCGACGTCGATGAGTGACCTGCGGGTGCAGCTGGTCGGTGGAGGCAGTGGTCAGGCTTCGGTGGCATCGCCGAAGAGTGCCGTCACCAAGTCGGATCCGATTCCGATTCGTGGTGGAGGTGTCGGAAGCGGCGGCAGTGGTGGTGGAGGTGGTGGAGGCGGTGGCGACGGTGGCGGCGGCAGTGGTAGTGGTGCGGGAAGCCGAGGCAGCGGTGGCGGTCGATCGGTTTCGAAGGTGCTTGGCGATACGGGATGCAACACACCGGACAAGCCGTTCAACTACTGCGAGGAAGGAACGCCGGACTTTAGCCGGGATGCGTCGCTGAATGTGATGGATCTGAACGTTGAGAGGGTGAGTTTTTGGTGGCTGTCTCTTTGAAATTTCTTTATGGGCATTCTCATAGCATCCGCTTTAAGAATTATTTTAGAGAATTTTTGAAAAAATCTTCAGGAAATTCTGGTGAAATTTTTAGCAGAAATTCTTTTAAAATTCCTCCTAGAAATTCTAGCAGAATTCCTCGAAATTAATTGAAATTGTCTTGCACAGTTCCTAAAAAGTCGCCTATAAATTTGTGAAGAATTCATCTTTAATATGCTTCAGAATTCTTTTAGATTTTGCATAGGAATTCTTGAACAATTCATGTAGAATTTCTACTAGGATCCGATTCCCAACAACTTCTTCTAGAATTCTCCTAGAAATTCTTGCAAAATTTATTCGTCATTTTTTGAAGAATCATTCCTAGTCAATCTTGCAGAATTCTTGTAAGGCTCTTTTGAATTTTTTACAGAATTGCTCTCGAGAATTCTTACAAAAATCTTTTGAACACTCCATGTAGGGAACCAAATCCAGGATTAAATTGATTTACTTTTTTCAGAATTCCTAAAAAAGACAATCTATACATTCTTGAAAAATTCATCTTCAAAATGTGTTTGAATTCCTCGTACATTTTGTTTAAAACTTCTTTACAGGAATACTTGATCACTGCATGTCGGTATTTTATGTAGAATATCTACTCGGAATTCTTGTAGAATTTTCCCAACATAATTCTTCTAGAATTCTTTTAAAAAATCTTGCAGAATTTCTTCTAGAAATTTTTGCAGATTCACTCATAGGAAAACTTGCAAAATTCTAGTAAAGTTCCTTAAGTTTTTTACAGAATTTCTCTCGGGAATTCTTACAAAAATCTTTTGAAACTCATTGCAGAATTTAACCTAATAATTATTTTAGAACCCCTTTTTTGAAAATTCTTGCAGAATTCTTGTACAACTTCTTTTGACAATTATAAAAAAAAATCTTCTCGCGATCTATTTTTGTAGAATTCTTCTCAAAATTCTTGTAGAATTCTTCGTAGATTTCTTCCTGGAAATTTTTGTAAAATCCTCCTTGAAATACTAGTAGTATTTTTCGGAAGAATTTTTGGAGTATTCCTCCTGAAAATTCTTGCAGAAGTCTTTGAAATTATTTTAGAATTTCTCTTTGGAAATCTTGAAGAATTCCTAAAAAAAGCCAAATTTATAAATTTTTGAAGAATTTATCTTTAAAATGTCTCCAGACTCTTAGAAAATCTTGCAGAATTCTTGTATGGTTTCCTATTTTTTTTAAAAGAATTCCTCTCGGGAATTCTTACAAAATTCTTTAGAAAACTTCTTGAAGAATTTATCCTAAGAATCATTTTCGATCCCCTCTTAGAAATTATTGCAGAATTTTTGTCAAATGTATCTCATCATAATTCTTGTAGAATTTCCCTTGACAGTTATTAAGAAATGCTTCGCCTGAATTCTTGTAGAATTCTTCTCGGGAATTCTTGTAGAATTTTTCTCGGGAATTCTTGTAGAATTCCTCCTTGATTTGTTTGTAAAACTCCTGGAAAGTTCCTTCAATAAATTCTTGTAGATCTTTTCTTAATTCATTCTTGTAGAGCTCATCTTGATTTTTTTGTAGAATTCCTCTTAGGATTTTTTGCAGAATTTTTGTAGAATTCATATCAGCAATTTTCGTACAATTCTTCTAAAAACTTTTTGCCAAATTCCTGTAAATTTCCTCTTGAAATATTTGCAGATTCACTCCTAGAAAATTCTTTTAAAGACACCTTGTAGAATTCATCCTAAAAACTTTTAGATCCCCTCTTAGAAATTATTACTTGATTCTTGTCAAATGTACCTCTTCATAATTCTTGTAGAATTTCTCTTGACAATTATTTAGAATTGGTTCGCATGAATTCTTGTTGAATTATTCTCGGGAATTCTTGTAGAATTATACCCGGGAATTCTTGTAGAATTATACCCGGGAATTCTTGTAAAATTCTTCCTTGATTTGTTTGTAAAACTCCTGTAAAGTTCTTTCAATAAATTCTTGTAGATCTTTTCTTAAGGCATTCTTGTAGAGTTCATCTTGATTTTTTAGACTTCCTCCTTGCAGAATTCTTGTAGAATTCGTATCAGCAATTTTCGTTCAATTCTTCTAAAACTTGAGGCCAAATTCCTGTGAATTTCTTCTTGTTTGATTTGCAGAATCACTGCTAGAAAATATTGCAGCAATCGTTTAAATACCCCTTGTAGAATTCATCCTAAGAATTCTTTAAAATCCCTCTTAGAAATTCTTACAGGATTCTTATTATTATTATTTATCTTTATTAGGGAGGCTTTCAGCCTTGGGCTTACAGGATTCTTGTCAAATGTACCTTTTAATAATTCTTGTAGAATTTCCCTTAACAATTATTAAGAAATGCTTCGCCTGAATTCTTCTCGGAGATTCTTGTAGAGTTCTTTTTTGATTTGTTTGTAAAATCCCTGTAAAGTTCCTATAAGAAATTTTTGTAGATCTTTTCTTAAGGCATTCTTGTAGAGTTCGTCTTGATTTTTTTGTAGAATTCATATCAGCAATTTCCGTACAATTCTTCAACAAAATCCTGTAAATTAACTCTTGGGAATTCTTGTAGAATTCATTTTCAATGTTTTGTAGTATTTATCTTAAAAATTCTTGTAGATTTCGTCTCCGGAACTCTTGAAATCTTCCTCTTTCAAATTCTTGCAGTATTTTTTTAAGTTTTCTCTTCATAATTCTTGTAGAATGTATCCTATAATATAACTCATAGTTGCATAATTCCTCTTAAGATTTGTTGTAGATATTCTGATGATGATGATGTCCCTCTCCGCATTGCGTAGACTCGGTCATACAGCTGGTTATGTAGTTTATTAATAGGCCCTTAAAGATTCTCATAGAATCGCTTTCAGAAATGTATGTATATTTCTTATAAGGAATTCTTTTAGAATCCTTTTTATTGATGGCAGCACTGCGCCATTCAGCATCGCGCGTTCTTTCAATCAGTGTGAAAGCAACTGAACAACCATTCATTAGGTACTGCAGCGTGACGTCATAAATGAACTCAGTGTTAATCGGCTGAACCTTTTTGACAGTTCAGTGGTACTGTTTACAAGCACTTAGTCGTTTTTTTTCGAAAAAAAATTTCTTAATTTTTTGAATTTTAACTTGAAAATTGTCGAGGAACAGCGCGTTGCAAGGATGTTGCTCGTGAACATTACAGAAATGCTGTTAACATCTCACTGCAGTCTGAAAAATTATCGAGAAAATCCACCCAAGAAACAATCGACTAAGTCCACGTAAACAGTACCACTGAACTGTCATCAGATTGAGGTTAACCCCGACGGTGCAAAACCTAATTGCCGTGCAAGCGGATGAATAAAAACCTCACTTGAGTTTGTTGTCTTGACCAGTATAAACGTGTTTTATTTACTCTGCTACTTCACGGCTAACACTTATCAATTCTTGCAGAATTCCTGCAAAATTCATCAAGGGAGTTTTTGTACACTTCTTCTTTGAAGCATTGATATTTTTGTGGAATTTCTCCTATGATTTTTTCCCTTGAATTCATTCTAAAAATTCTTGTGAAATTTTTCCTAAATTTTATGGTAATTCTTCTTAGGATTTTCAATGAATTTCTCAACTATTCTTGTAGAATATCTTTTTAGAATTATTTAAAATTCATTGTAGGAATTCTTGTAGAATTCCTTCTAGGAATGGTTATATAATTTCTCTTAGAACTCCTCTGATCCTGAGGTATCCATGTAGAATGCTGCTTAATTTTTTGTTGACACTCGTGTAGAAATCTTCTTTGGGAATTCTTGTAGAATTTGTCTCAGAAAATTCGTATAAAATTCCTGCAAAAATTTTTTGGATTTTTTACATAATTCAATTTAAGTAATTCTTGCAGAATTTCACTTCTAAATCTCGTTGTGGAATTTTGCTAAAAGGTTGTCGTAGACTTCCTTTTAAGAATCTTTGTAGGATTTCTTCTTGGATTTATTGTAGAATAAATTTTAGAAATCCTTGTTGAATTTATTCTTGGATTTCTTGTAGAATCCTTCTTAAAAATTCTTGTAGAATTTCTCATTGGATTTCTTGTATAATCTTTCTAGAATTTCTGTTTTAGATTTCCTGTAAAATCCCCTTTAGGAATTCTTGCAGAAATACCGTTAATTTTTTTTTTGAAATTCTTTGAACAATCCATCTTAGGATTTCTTGCAGAAATCGTGTAAATTTCATGATAGAAATTCTCGTAGAATTCCTCTTCGAATTTCGGGTGGACTTGGTATCAGAAATTCCTGTAGAATTTATTCTGAAATTTTGCAAAACTGTTCTAAGGAATTCTTGCGAAATTCTTCGTAGAAATTTTGTTCAGAATTCTTGTTAAATTTTTCTTAGAATTTCCTTTAGAATTCCTCCTAATGAATTCTCTTGCACCCTTCCTCTTAAAAATCCATCCTCCTCGTAATTCTTGCAGAATGCCATTCCATTTCAAAACAATGACCAAAACGACTAACCTTTCTCTCATTCTCCCTCCCTCTCCCACCGGCAGGACTCCAAACTCTCCGGCAAGCACGCCCCGGAGGCGGAACCCTCGGACCAACCGGTGACTCCGGCCACCCCGGGCGGCACCCACGCCAGCAAGCAGGTATCGTTCCTGAACACGGCCGAGGAAACGCCGCTGATGTTCTCCCGCACCAGCTCGATGGGATCGCTCTCGAGTGCCGAGCCCATCTGTACGGCCGACGACAAGAGTTCCATCATCAGCGAGTTCAGTCGGTTCGCGTCCGGTGTCATCTCCCCGTCCGAACTGCCCGACTCGCCGACCCAGAGTATGCCACATTCGCCGCGACGAACGGGAATGATGGCCAAGGCGGCCGGAGTGGGGGCGGAGAAGAAGGACCACGCGGTTGGACCTCCGGTGCAACCGAAGAGTGCATTCGAGGACACGGTCAGCAAGTTCGATGTGGAGAATACACCGGCTGTGTTCTCCTGTGCGACCAGTTTGAGTAATCTCAGTATCGACGATAAGGAGGACGAGGAATCGAAGTTGGTGGTGGCTGGAGGGTCAGCGAAAGTGGGGCCACCGGTTCTACCGATACCGGAAGCCAGTGCTTCCGAGGATGGAGAGTCGGATCGCGACGATGACTTTCTGCTAGAGTCGTGTATCAATATGGGCATGAATGTGATGGCTAGAAGCGCAGAGGATAAGAAAAAGAAGATAGAGGAAGAGATTGTGGTTCCACCGCCGCAGGAGCAGGAAGACCTGCTGCAGCGATACTGTACAGAGGATACGCCAGCGAGGCTGTCCGAAGTGAACAGCAACTGTAATTTGAGTGTTTTGTCGATGGATTCCCGGAATGGGCATGAGTCGGATGAGAGTTCCACGGTTTCGGCGGAGCAGAATGACCGGCTAGTAGAGGAGTGCATCCGGAGTGGAATGCCAAAGCCGAAGAATGTGGATGCGATGGGATTCATGAGAAAGGTCAACGGTATGCCGCTAATGGGAGTTCAGAAGGAGAATCCCATGAACATGATGCGCAACCCAACCCACTTGGGGCCTCTATATGCTAACGATGAGGTTAACAATTTCTACGTGGAGGACAGTCCTTGTGCCCATTCGACGATTTCGGCACTGTCGGATTTGACAGTGGCTTCCGAGGCGCCGAATGGAGTGAAGAATGTCTACAAGATTTCTTCGTTGAAGGGGAAGCAACCCCATTCTCAGGAACAGGGAACCCCTTTCGCACAGGCTCATGCGGCCAATGGATCCCTGAGTTCCCTATCGGTGGAATCGGATAACGATGACCACCTGTTGGATGAAGCGATCGCCGCCGGAATCGGTTCCAACAGAGCCAAAACTAGTCAATCAACGTTCCGAGCTGTGGAGAATCCACTTCCACCGGTGAATCGAATGACTGTAGCCGCAGCGGATGCCAATGATTCCTTGGATTCTATCGATTCGGTGGATTCAAACGATCCACAGAGTAATTCTCTTCTGGATCAGTGCATCGAAAACGGTATGAAGAAGCTGACGGAGAAGCACGCTGAGCCAGGATTTGAGCTTCGGGCCGGAATGAACTACGGTCAGTCGGGACCGCGTCCTCCAGCGGCGGCACCGGACGAGAGCATTCCGGACTCGGAGCGGGACTACGAACTGTTGATGGAATGCATCCAGAATGGCATGCCAAAGGCAAAGAACAGTCAGCTGGTGATGGATCTCACGCGGAATCTACAGCGTTTGGCCATTTCCGGTGCTGCTGCGTCCTCCAGCAACAACCAGTCGTCGAATCCAAAAAACGTGGACACTACGCCTGTGGTTACGAAGGATGTCGGTGCCACCAACGTAATGTCAGCAGGCGTAGTAGCAGCAGTAGAAACAACCACGGCCAGCGGAAGCAGCAACATCAGCGTCACCGGTATCATCAACAACAACAGCATCAGCAACAGCAGCACCAGCACCTCCATCATCACCCATCAGTCATCCATCATTACCCGTACCACACCAGTCACCAGCAGTTCCATCCCCACCATCACCACAAGAAGCGCGGAACTACCGGTTCCACAACCACAGCAACAACGGCGGCAATCGCAACCGGAAACGCAGGAGCACCAGCAGGAGCAGTCATCACGGCAGCGTCGTCAGCCCCTGCTAGCTTCTTCCATCACCACCAGCAGCAGCAGCACGATGGGTCAGAGTGGATTTGAGAGTTTGATGGAGCGGTCGAACGAGTTCCCGGCTTCCTCCGCCCTGGTGGGTCTCATGAGCTCGTCGTCCGTTGGTTGCAACAGTGAGATGCAGATGTCCAACGAATTCATGGTGGAATTTGCTCCGACCAACAACAAGCACAAGGATCCGGATTTGATGCTTAAATCGGTCGAGCGGCTCACACAGGAACTGGTTTCCACTGCGGAATATCTGAGGACGGTTTCGTCCAGCGGTGGTGACAAGGTGGAGAATAACACCTGGGATGATGACGTAACTAGTGCGAATGATGTGTCGTTTCCTAGTTTAAGTGTTCAGGCTCCGAAGATTCAGCATTTCTGCGATGATGACGACACGGCGACGATCAGCGAGGAGGTAAGTAATTCTTGACCTTAATTCTGTCAACTGTCAATATTGTAGCCTGTTTGCTATCCACCACCAGGTTGACTCTAAAGCCCTGGATGCTTTGGAGGAACAAACTCCGATGAACGAGCACCGATCGCTGCCCGGTTACGGTAGCAACGAAGACCTGTCCAAGGATGAAATTCACTTCCAGCTGGGCGGTGAAGTGAAACACCCGATGGTCGGTGGTCATTTTACACACGGTTCCGACGGTCTCTCGTTCAGTACCGTTTCGACGCTAACCAACTCGACCATCATCGCTATGGAAGCCACCAAAGTCGCCAACAATCTGCAGAACCTAGCGATCGTCGAGAGTGCAGAATTTGATCTGAGCAAGATCCATCCGCCGTTCGGATCGGACAGTATTCTGATTTCGGACTGCTCGGATTCGGAGATGACATTCCGGAACGAATCTCGTAAGATTACTCTACCAAGTGGATTGGTAGCAAAGCGAGCCCTCGGGCATACGTTCAACGATAGTTTGAACTCGTTGCACAACCTGGACAGCATCGGACCGCCTTCCATCATGGATGAACTGATGGATTCGATGATCAGTGTGGCCAGTATTACGTCGGAGATTGTAGATGTGGACAGTGGTCATGCGGGAGCTTCGGATCCATACATAAGCTCCGGAAATTCCAGCTTGACGCTAAATTCGAGTCTGGAGAATTTGATCAAGTTTTCTCCGACGATGAATGCCGGTGGGAAGAGTACTCCCATTAGTCCGAAGAAGGCCGAGCGGCGGCAGGCGATGAAGGATCGCTACAAGACGTACACCATTCCGAAGCCGGAGCCGGTGGATTTGAATCAGACTGCTGAGGATGTGGTTACGAGGGAGGCGAGAGAATCGCCAGATGTGAAGGTAGCTTTGAGTTATTTCAGGATCACTTTTCAGATAAATTAATTCAACATTCTTTCCAGACCCCAACGCCTAGCAACCCATCGACCCCGTCACCGAAGAAGTCCTCCAAAGAACGTCGCCAGGAGAACAAATCCCGATATGAAACGCAGGTCATCTCCACCAGTATCCTACCATTTGCTGATCGATTCGCCAACGGAGACCCGGATTCTCCCCGAACTCCGAGGGCCACAATCATTGCGAAACCGGTGGCCTTCTCTCCCCTCGTTTTGCACTCCCCTGCGCCAATGTCCTTGGAACGGGTTCTGTCTCCGGAACCGGTGGAAACCGGAGCAGATGATGATGATGATCCTGTGACCTATACCATCCAGGAAGCTCAACGAAGGAAATCTCTGGAGCAGAAGCTTCCGAATATCCCAGCACATGAAGCACCCACTCAGCTCAAAACTCCCCTCTCCAGCCCTAGCAAGGTGCCAACTCCAATCAAGACTGTTGTCAGCAAGATCAGTACCACTCCGGCATCTGCTCCCGAAGTGGTGAAAACCGTTCGCGGTACGAAGAAACCTCCTTACGTGTCGCCCTATCGTAAGTCGGTAAGCTCCGCACCGGCAGTCATTACTCGAACTCCGGCTGGTGCCAAGAAAGAACTGCAAGTTGTTCCAAAGCTACGAACTCAAAGTTCCCTAGTGGAAGCTTCAAAGACACGGCCACAGCCTCTCAAGGCTCGATCCAGTATTGGCATGAAGCGGAACTCGTTGGAGATGAATGGAAATGGTTCGGTTCGAAGCAGTAGTAGCAGCAGCAGTTCGGACGTTCCCAAGCTTCACAGCAGACAGCCGTCTTGTGGAGCAATTGGGGGTTCCAGGGCTAAGGTAAGATGAAGCGTTGTGTTTTGTCGTCACACATATTTCTGATTCTAACGCTGAAACTCTCGCAATCAGGTCCCAGTGGCTCCGCCATCGCCACCGCCCCCTCTCATCCGCCAGGGAACGTTCACTAAGGATGAACCAACGAACCCGGAAGTTCCGGTCGTAACGTCCGCTCCGTCTACCCCGGCGAAAACCCTTCGCAAATCGGGCTCCATGATCCCGAGCTCGGCTTCCTCCTCCCGACTGACCACCATCGCCAAGTCGCGCATCGTTCTTCACAAGAGCATTAGTATGGATGCCAGCAAGACCACTCCCAGCACCCCGACGGCGGTTGCTCCATCCGGCGAGAGCACACCCCTCAGCAGCCGGTATCGACTGACTTCGGCACGGACCTCGCTGATCGACTATAAGAAACCATCGACCGGTATCAGCCGGTTGAGCACTCCGATCAGTTCAAACTCTTCCAGCGAACAGTCGGTGGTGGTGACCACTCCGACCAGTCCGGGATCGATGATTCCGATGCGCCGGAAGAGTGGCATAGCGTTGCCCAAGAGGACCAACCTGACGATGAAGTCGAATCCGGATGTGCTGAAGGGCAAGCTGGACGGAGTGCGGAATGCGTTTGTGAGAACGGCCGCTTCCGCGGTGAAAACCGGAACGCGGTGAATCCGCTAGGGGTGGTTGACTGACATTAGTTGGGAGCGACGGCACTGTTAACTTTTCGGGAGAAGAGGAGTTGCTTCCTGTTTGCCGCGGTGATTTTTTGAGGTGAGTGTAAGGTTAATATTTATTAAACTATCCGTCGCAAACCAAAGAGTATCTTGAACGCGCAGCTGTCGATTGAGACTGGATATTTCTAACATAGTTTCCAAAATGTTTGAAGTGTGATCTTCAGAGTTGCCTCCAAATCCTTTGGATAATTGTCTCAATAATTTATGAAAAATCGTCTTTGAAATTCTGGGAGTGTAACCTAAAGTCCATGTAGAATCGCCGGGTGAATTCTTGATTAAATTTTTTGACAAAAGGTCAAATGGACGAAAGGTCGAATGGACAAAAGGTCGAATGGACAGAAGGTCGAATGGACAAAAGGTCTTATGGACAAAAGGTCGAAACGAACTTAAAGGAACATAAGATCGAATGGACAAAAGGTCGAATATAACATAGAGAGACAAAAGGTCGAACAGAAAGTCGAAATAGACAAAAGGTGCGAAATGGATCAAAATTCGAAGTGAACATAAGTTCAAAACCCAACATCGACATTGACAAAATATTGTTAAAAGGAGAACGGAAGAACTGGCATTCCTTCAAGGATTTGTTCGTGAGCACAATCCACAGCAAAACGGACCTGAAGGATTCGTTGAAGATGCAGTACTTGCTATCATATCTGGATGGCGAGGTGAAGAAAATGGTCAGTTCATTTCCCATCAATGATGACAATTCCAGAACAACATGTGAAAAGGGCATACAAGCTTTTTGTAAACAAACTTTGTAGGCCCTTTTCTCACCAACCGAGGGTCGCCCACGCAAACCAGCAATATCATCGGGAAGGGGAAAGTGTCCCCTACCCGGTGATGTTAAAGGTTTGCGTTGGTGTCATATGGGTGGCGAGAAAAGGGCATAAGAAGGTTTGTTTACAAAAAGCTTGTATGCCCTTTTCACATGTTGTTCTGGAATTATAAGGAAGCTTTGGAGACACTTGTAACGCACTACAACAAGAAGAAGTACACCGTGTTTGCCCTAGTTCTGGAGTTCATCGGCCAACCAGCAATCTCATGCACTAGTGGATTGAAGAAGATGGTGACAACATCCGACGACGTGATAGGTCAGCTTAAGGCATTCGGGAACGAAATCGAATCGAGGGATCCATGGCTCATCCACCTACTGCTGGAGAAAGTTGACAGGGAAACAAGGTCTTTGTAGGCTCAGAAAATTATTGATGTCGACAGTCCAACCTTTGCTGGCTTTCTGGAGTTCCTGCAGAAGCATTGCGATGCACTCGAAACGTGCACCGCATTCACGAAGCGACAGAGCCAGGGAGATACCGTGAAGAAGGATAACACGAAGCCACACGTTGTGTAAAATGCTCGAAGGACCATCTGGTCTATCACTGCGGCAAGGCTGTGCTTCAACTGGTTGCGTCCTTTCCACTCGGCGAAAAAGTGTCCGTCGAAATCGGTATGCCGCTCTGCAGACTGCAAGCAACAGCATAACACTTTACTGTGCACACAGGAAGCGAAGCAACCGGAGAAGAAGCCGAATCAGGATCAATCAAACCAGGAAGCTCGTTCGGAATCAGCTCTAGCATCGGTGAATGTGAACTCGGCACAATCGCTGGGCGAGAAATGTGAAGCTACGCTGCTGCCAACAGTGGTGGCACGAGTCAAAGGGAGTGATGGCAAGCTGAACGAGGTGAGGATTCTTATTGAATGTGGTTCGCAGGTGTCGCTCATAACGGAGGCGTGCGTAAAGCATCTTGGGTTGAGGCGTAGCAACGCTACACTGGAAGTCACTGGTGTCAACGCCGAGGTTGACGGCACTACCGCCGGCAAGGTTACACTAGTGATCTCATCGCGGTTTCGAGGATGGAGTGAAACTCGTCGCTCAAGCTTACGTATTGGGAAAGCTCACGGCAACACTGCCGTGTCAGCACTTTAGCGTTTCAAACATGCCTTACCTGGGGGGCCGACTCGCAGTTCAACAAGCCGGATCAACGCACATCATCCTGGGCTCTGATGTTTTCCTTTCGTTACTAGAGCCAGGGCAGGTCAAGGATCAAAACGGCAATCCTGTAGCACAGCGTTCCGTCTTTGGATGGATGGTTGCAGGAAAGATTTCGAAGCAAGGGTGTGCTCACAACTATCATTCGGTACTCAATCTGCATCAAGAGGTTGATATCGATCGTACTGGAGGGGTCAAGCATCGCTCGCAGGAAGGTCGCTTTATGGATGCCTATGGATGATTCAAAGCTCAAACTTGGGAATTCGCTGGCCGCTGCTACCAGGCGGTTGAGAGCGATTGAAAGCTGATTTGAGAACTACAGCAGCTCAAGCAACAATACCTATCGTTTATGCAAGAGAACCAGCAATTGGCCCACATGGAAGTTGTGCCGCCAGCGGAGATCGATGTGGATTGTTCGAAATCGTATTACTTGCCCCACCATGGCGTCGTAAAGGAGGACAGCGTAACCACCATTTTCGATGCTTCTTCTGCCATCACGACTGGAACATCCCTCAATGATACTAGATGCCTCGAACATCAACGCCGAGCTGTTTGAAGTACTGCTGCGATTCCGATTGTTCTTAGTGGTATTCATCGCGCATGTCGAAAAGATGTACCGCCAGGTGTGGGTGCACCATGACGATACGGATTACCTATGCATCGTATGGTGAGAATCTCCTGACAAGCCGATTCAGCATTTTCGTCTTCGTACCGTCATCTACGGTCTTAATAACTCAGTTTTCCTAGCAATGGCAGCACTACACAAGGCAGCAGAAAAATGCGAGCAGCAGAAAAATGCGAGCAGCAGAAAAATGCGAGCAGCAGAAAAATGCGAGCAGCAGTACTCGAAAGCTGCTGAGAGAATCAAGAAGCGCCTGAAGAGACCTTCAGGCGCAGATTCAGTGGAGAAAGTGGTACGGATTATCAAGGAAATCCTCGGCAAGGCAGGGTTTACTCTTCGTAAATGGAGTTCAAACCCAACTGAAGTACTCGACTCGCTGACAGATACCATCAGCACCACAATGCCGATTTAATTACCCGACGAACGGAATATTGTGAAGGCGCTCGGAACACACTGGCTTCCAACAGATGTTTTCACATTTAAGGTGACCATGCCCACCGACGGCCCAAACACAAAACATCAGCTACTCTCGGACTCAGCGATGTTGTTTCAAACGAAAATCCTGCTGGTTGCGCTTTCCGCGGGATCTCTCCGCTGGAACTTGGTATGTTCTATGGGAAAACGAAACACACGACGTACAGTCACTGTACGTACCTTGTTATGTATGGAATTTAGTTAAATATATGAGTATTGAGGACAATCGTTTGAACGTGTGCACGAAAAAAGAAGATACGCCACTCGGGCAAACGTCACCGCTGTGGTGAAACATTACAACCCTCGCTTCCGCCAAAGTGACAAGAAAACACACTCACACGACTGTCCCGGACAGTGTCGGCAACAGCGTTGCCAGTATTCCAGATTTATCTGGATTTTCCAGATTTTCGGTCATCCGGCCAGATACACAGACAGATCACGTATATTTCCAGATTTTTAAAATATGTTCCAGATTTTCCCAGATTTTTCAAACATGTTGCTTCAAAAATATCATAGCAATTGATTTAAACTCTAATCAAAAAATAAAAACTGCTTCTTGAATTATTAAAGGCCATCAACGTTGGAAATTATTGCAAATTGTACTTGGAATTGTAATGTTTGCATGTTAATGGGTTGCAGAATTATGAAAATGGATCCATTTTCCAAAGATGATTTGCTGAAAAAATCTTCAAACTTTTTAAATAGTGAGCCTGAATGAATGATTGGAATTTTTATTTAGATTTTTTCTATATTAAAAAAAATTAAATTTAAATATGGAGGAATTTTCATATTTTCTTTTAATTTAGAGGAATCGAAAACTGTTCAGGATTGAAAACAATAAGTTGAGCCTTGGAAAATTAGCAAGGCTTTTGAATCTAGACAACAACCAGGACGTTGAAGTATGTTTGTGAGATTTTTGAGGATAATTCATAAGGAAATTTTTTAAAAGCATCTGATAATTTTTAGCATTTCTTTTAAGTAGGGGAATTTACGTATTCTCGGCAACCTAAGCAGCGATCATCAGCTCTGGTACTCTCTTCAGTCCCAATCTAATCGATTCACCCCTCGAAACATAGGAAAAACCAATAACCCCTCATTTTACCTGTCAAACTTTCATAGCGAATCAAAACAAACATTGCGTAGTACTAGAATTTCGACTAGAATGGGATACGTTAATCGTTTGCTTCAAGTAGTGAGTCAATTTAAAATCGTTAGTTTCGTATTGATTGTTGGTATTGGTTCGTTTACAATATTTTGCTGGCAGCTGTTTTAACAATTTCAGTCAAAGCATTTGTCAAAAACTGTTTTGAAACGCTTTTACAAAGCTCCAATCTTCTCTAGTGAGAGCGACTATTGTAGGCAACAGCTTTTTATTCGGCAACCTTTCTATTTGAGCTGCGTATTAAACAACTGTGCTTTCATCGGCAACTCGAAATCGGCAGCATTTTGTAGTGTGTGTGTTTCATTTCAAGAAAACTCTGCTAGATTACTTTTTCTCAGTGGTAAAAATATAATCAAATTGAAGCTGAAAGCCTACAAAATCATTTGAATGCATTCAGCGAAGTTGCCGAAAATAGTCTGTCATGCCGAAGCCATCATTTCCCTTACCTGTTACAGCAGTCTGAATTTCTTTAGAATTCTAAATTGCCCTAAAATTTCAGAGGTAAGGTAATTTTGAAAATAGTTTACAATGAAGTGTGAGGCGAATTCTTTGCGAAACCGAAGGAGAATTTCAAGTTAATTCTGAGTATAGTTCCATCCATCTTTGTAAGCTTCGTGGTCGTGCGGTGTTACCCGTCGTTCAGGCGTATTATGAGTGCCACGAAGTGAGGGTTCGTTTTCCGCTCCAGCCAGTGGAACTTTTCGCAACCTGAAAATTTCCCTTCTGGTCTACTGGGTGTGGTGTGTTGTCAGTTTTCTAGTGTTAAGTTTTCAGTCTGTGCAACCTCTGGTT